AACTCTGGCATGCATCGAAACTGTTAAATCATTCTGTCCAAAATGGTCATCATTTATCCCAACCTATATCCAGTATGTCCAAAATGCTCATCGTTTATCCCAACCTAAATCTGATGTGTCCAAAATGCTCATCACTTATCCCAACCTGTATCGACTGCCCAAATCGGTTCCGATCATGAACTACATAGGAAAATCGAACTGACCAATTCGGTTTGATGATTGTCCAATTGATTTTTCGTTTGTCCAAATCGCTTCACCTTTGTCCTAACTTACCTGGTCAAAGGGGTAATTTTATATAATTATTAATTATTCTCTCCAATATATCTCACACTACTTATCCTTACATCTCTACAAGCAGGGGCCAACCATATCACAGGGACTGAGCATGAATGCTGAACCCTAACCCCTATAGCGAAGGATGGAAGGGACGAAGGAAAAGCCCCTACCAAGACCAAACAAGGGGGGGCAAGCCGACCGTGTCAGCTAGCCAACTATATCAGCTGGTGAGCGCGAAGCGCACGGCAGGAGGCCGTGGGGAATTGAATGGAACATGTGGAGAATTGAACCCACAACCTCCTGAATGCTGCTTGCGTGCTCAACCAACTGAGCTAGGCCACTGGCCCCTGTTGGAAATTTTGTTATCAACTTATCATGGTGCCTTCAACAAAAAAGGAAAAAGAACTGTGGCTGTTTGGTGCCATGGTTCCACTTCACTTTCATTGAGCTATCATGTTTATCTTTTTTCTTTTTTTGTTATCTAGGCTACCAGAGTGGCCCGGGTCCACTTGCTCGGCCGGGCCAAAAAGAAAAAAATAAAAATAAAATATATATTATATATATTTTTTAATTAAAATTTTTATTTTAAATTTGGTAAAGAATTTCGATGTGATGCTGAGGCAAAAGTTGTTCAGTTTATTTTTCTCCATAAGTTTTTTGTTTTTGTTTTTTTTTTTGTTTTTTTTGTTTTTTTTTTTTTTTTACAAAAGAACAGAACCTCTTGGTTCTGGCTCCTACCATTCTGGGGAGCGACAGTCCGGTTCCTATTCCCCCGGCAAGTCAATATGGAATACATGGGGGACTCACACACACTCCTCCCCTTTATGGCTGGGAGGCCCGAGTGGACGGCATTGATTACTTCCCTGGGGAAGGATGTACCACCCCTCGGCCCTGCCTAAGTTAGCCTGTGCTATTTAATCTGCCTGGTTGTTGCCAATCTGTCTGACCCCAGTCCAGCTTCTCTCGGCAGTGATGCTATCTGGTTGGTGTGTTATGCTAGAGCGGTCTGGAACGCCTATGAGTCTCCTGAAATCTCTAACACTCTAAGTCCTGTTTGCCTTGTTTCTGTCTAAACCTTAAACCCTAAACCCTCAGCTGTAATGCTGTCGTGATTTACCTGTTCCTAGTTCCTAAAATGTAAAACATGTGCTGTTTTTAAGCTCTAAATCCTAAGCCCTGAACCCTCTTCCTCTCTCTAGTTTGGGCTGTGAACCCTTCCTTTCTCTCGGATGACTTTTTTTACTGCTACTTTCCTCTGAAAGATTCTATGCACTTCTACGCCTTGTCATCATGGGGACGTGTCTTTGCTGGAACCCTAGGGTTTATCTAGCCTTCCTCTCCGATCCTATGTGCGTTCTTATCTGTCCTTCCAATATTGAGCTGTTTGACACCATTCTAGCTATTACCGTGCGTCTTGGCTGTCCTGGCTCTATGTTAATCCTGTGTCTTGTGTGTTAGTTGGGGTGTAGCTGTCTCTAGCCGCTGAAGGTTCTTGTGTTGACTTGATCCAGCTGGGGTGTAGCTGTCTCTATTCTGAGTGTATGTTGACTTCCAGGGATTCGGGGATACTGTTTAGTGAGTGGTCTTGTGAGTGTTGATTTGGTGGGGTTTCCTCCTGGAGTCCGAAGACTATGCTTGAGCCCCGAATGACTGCAATTTTGCCTTTGGCTAGGAAGTTCTCTTCGAAGTTCTGTTGGTGTTCCTTGGCTTTGTCTTCGTCTTCCTTCATCTTCTTGCTTACTTTGCACCATAGGACCCAGTATTCGGTTTGTACTTGTTGTTGGAGTAATCCCCATGCTTCTTTGGTGTGCATTTTTTGTTTTTCTATGGTTTCTTGACATCTTTTCCTCCATATAGCCCATAGTGCGGCTTTTCTAAGAATTCTGAAGAGGGTGGATTCTAACGTGGTCCAGTCTTCCGGGTCTTTAAAGCCTAGGAGTAGTAGTGTGCTGTTGTTTGTGAAGGTTGTGCCTATTACTGTGTTCCATATACTTGCTGCTTTGTGCCATAATGGTTTTATTCTAGGACATAGGAGAAAACAGTGGTATAGGTTTTCTATTTGGCCATTGTTGCAGTTGACGCACAATTCTTTCAGTGGGCTTCTGTCTTCCTTTTTTCTTCTACCGTTTAACCATTGATTCAAAGAGACTGCTAGGTAAATGATTAAACATTGTAGGCTTCTGAGTTTGGGCGGGTGTATCAAGGCTA